CTCAGTGAGGGGGGGTCAGGGGGCGGCGTGTGGGGGAGGTGATGAGGGACTTTCGTTGTTGGTGGAGTGGAAGGGACCTGGAGGTGTGTGAGGATATGTTGAGGTATATGTTAAGAGTTCGAGATGTGCGTCATTTGCAAATAGTGAGGCTGGTGGGAGTTGAGTATCGTCGGGAGACGCTGCAAGGGGTGGCTGTCTTCCCCACATATGATTGGAGGGTAATATGGGAGGAATTTCGAAAGCTAAGAATGCCTGCAAGGGTGAGAGAAGTGGTCTACAGATTCCTCATGTGGACATTGGCGTCAAAAGAGGTGTTGAGGCAGATGGGATGTGAGTGATGCTTCATGTGCGCATTGTGGTGACGTGGAAAATGCTTTCCATGTGGTGTATTTTTGCCCTTTTTTGGAAAATGTAAGGGTGTGGTTGAGAGGTGTTTTTGGATTATTGGGGGGGAAGGGTGGGGGTCCTTAGGCCTTTACTTTTAGACGTGGAAGGAGTGTCTAATGAGGTAGCGAGGGCATTAAGGTATATAATGGTTGATTCTTTGTATGTTTCTTGGGGAATGAGGGAGGTGGGGGGTTATGTCAGGATCAAGGCCTTAGCGGCGAGTTTTTATAGGTCGGTGGGTAGGAATAGGAGCTTATATGGGGGTCAGTGGGTTGCTCTTTTTCCGGAGAGTTATCGGGGACTGACTGTGGCACGACTGCTACAGTTGGTGCCGGGGAAGGGCAGCAAGGGGTTGGTTTCCGGAGGTGAGTGATGAGTACTTGGAGATGATTGTAGTAAGGAAGAGAGGTGATGGTGGCTGCTCCAGTGGTGCATGTGAGATAACATGATGTAAGGCCTGTCTGTGTGTGTGGTGTGTGTGTGTGTGTGTGTGTGTGTGTGTGTGGTGTGTGTGTGTGTGTGTGTGTGTGTTGTGTGTGTGTGTGTGTTGAGTGTGTGTGTGTTGTTGCAGTGGTGTGTGTGTGATGTGTGTCTGTGTGCATGTCTGTGTGTGAGTCTGTGTGTGTGGGTGAGGTGTTCTGTTATTAAAATGGGGCTTCTGTGAGAGAGGTGGAGGTTTTTTTTGGTAAGATTTTCTTGCTTCTGTGGGTTCGCCAAGGCGTCATTTCGATACTTTTCAAAGGACCAAACTGAAAATATTTAGGAAATAATGAGCTAAGAATTATTTGTGTTGTAAAAGATGCGGGGTTTTTGTTTTTGTTGCCCCAGAAACTAATGTTTTGATTCCTATCCTATTTAACAACTGTAGTACGGGCGAGGTACCTGCGTGCACCAGGCTCCTGTATTTCCTGTATTATGTCAACTTTGTCAATGTTAGATGTTCTGTGTAAGAGTGGGCATTGTACATTGCCCTATTCAGTATTCCTTCCTGTTTGGAAGTTAATGAGGTAGGAACGTATATACACACGGATTAAGGGTATATTTCACCTGTTCATACTGTGTACCTTGTGGGTGATGGGAGGAGGCACACATCTTAGAAATTTTTTTCTTATAATTTAAAATTTATTCTAGAGTATGCAAAGTTCCATATGATGTGTGTTTGGGTTATATGGGGTGTGGGGAGTACGATTTAGTCTTACCTGGAGTTTACCTGGAGAGAGTTCCGGGGGTCAACGCCCCCGCGGCCCGGTCTGTGACCAGGCCTCCTGGTGGATCAGAGCCTGATCAACCAGGCTGTTGCTGCTGGCTGCACGCAAACCAACTTACGAGCCACAGCCCGGCTGGTCAGGAACCGACTTTAGGTGCTTGTCCAGTGCCAGCTTGAAGACTGCCAGGGGTCTGTTGGTAATCCCCCTTATGTGTGCTGGGAGGCAGTTGAACAGTCTCGGGCCCCTGACACTTATTGTATGGTCTCTTAACGTGCTAGTGACACCCCTGCTTTTCATTGGGGGGATGGTGCATCGTCTGCCAAGTCTTTTGCTTTCGTAGTGAGTGATTTTCGTGTGCAAGTCTCCTCGAAAACATTGTCAGGGGGTTTTAGTTTTCGAGAACCTATGTACGTAACATGTTACTATACAAAACAATTGTATGAGAAATGATTTGGTGTATAATTAATGTTTTGTATATAAAGTTTTTATACAAAATATGCATAAGTGTAACAGGTTTTGTTTTGTAGCTTTTTTTGTTAAGGAATGCTCATGTGTAGGTTCTTATGTTTCATTCCTAGTTAGGCTTGTTTTTTCTCAGAGTTGAGCCTTTTTTTGTTAAGTTTTATGTATAACAACATGTAGATTGCACACTGTGTCCTTAAATAAAAAAATAAAAAAATTCTAATAATAATGGTGGCAATAATGATAATGTTAATAACACTGACACTACAGTGACTGAGGTAAAGGTTGCAGCTAATGGCAATAATGATGGCCTAGCTGAGGTAGTCTTGCCGGTGTTGGATGTAATAATTCAGGATAACGGGCATAAATCCAAAAGCATGCGGTGTCACTCTCCTCAACACTGGTACGGGCCATGTAATATATGGCAGACTACCGCCTGGTAATAATGACTAGAGGAAGTAGTAAATACAGTCACGGTGTCTTACTCATAAAAGGTCAACCCAGTACAAGTATTCTTCTATCGAGGATGATGTTGAACCAGTCTAATTTGTGGGAGCTGGACAGCATAGGGATTAATATAAATGAGGAAAGTCCAGATGATTCCTTTACTCAGGAACAATACCTGAAGGATGTTAAATGTGAATCTGGACATTACTGGGTGCGACTTCCGTGGAAGCTCGACCGTCCAGAATTACCTACTAAATTATAGGATGGCGTATGGACAGTTAAAGGCCCAGCTCTGCGAACTGAGCAAGACACCAGAATTGTTGACTGTTTATAATGATATAATTAATCAACAGTTAAATAATAAATTGTTCCTACCTCAGGCGACGATAATTGCACACCTTAAGGGCACAGGTGGTCCACTGAGCGAAGTAATTGGGTAAATAATCTTATGTGGACAATTTCCTGGGTGTGACGTCAACTGAAGAGGAACTAATGAGGATATATGAAGGGGTTAATGAAACAATGCAATGTGCAAGGATGCCCCTGAGGGAATGGAACAGTAATTAGTACATTTTGAGGGATCAATAAATATGGATAGCAGTGGAGTTGAAGTGCCTGTATGCAGTAATGTGCTGGGGCTGACTTGGGATGCTGAGAGAGACTTGTTATTGTTAAAGTCTCATAATTCTAGTATGCCCAATAAATTAACCCAGAGAGCATAGGCTTAGTGTCACGCCTTACAGTAAGAGGGAAATTGTTAATACCAGAAGCATGGAAGCTTGAGTGTGCTTTGGATGGAGCCCTACCTGAGGAGTTAACAGGTGGAAAGAATTAATGGGTGATTATGTAAATACCAGTGTTGGAGTTCCCAAGCCAGGTGGCCAGTGAAGATGAGAAAATTGTACTCCACATTATTTAAGTCGTCTAACAACGACCTCCGCCCGGCCGCAGTGTGGAAAATATTTTAATGTTCCGAAGCTATAGTGCCTAATAGGTGTTTAATGTATTGATATGGGTCAAAAAAATGTATTTGAAAATGGAATAGAACCAACAGGGAAGCTCTGTGCCTGCGCTGATGGGCAGGGGAGAGGTCGAGACGGGGCAGCGGGAGCGGGAGTGTTTGGAATGGAGTTAAGAGGCTGTGAAAACATGGGACCAGGAAATTGGCATTCATGGTGGCCTAAGGATTAATATAGGCCTCACTTCATAATAGGAAGTGTTGTAACTGTCCCTGGTGAAGAGTGAGGGAACGTGATTGACGGGACCGTTGTAATAAGTGGTAAAATTAGTGAATAATGGTAGGACCGGTGGTGACTGGTGCACCACCATGGAGTGTGTCCAGGGGAAAATACTTGTGATTTAATCCTCGCTCATCAGTCTCAGATATTAATGGAGTGACCTCTAATGTGTATAATAATTATGAGACATTAAATCGTCTTGTGAATTGTAATGTAATCAGTGATAATAACACTAAGTTAAGAGAATGCATGAAGTAAAATAAGTCGCCTTGCTCCGAGTGAACACGTGTAGACCTTGTGGTTCCTGTCCCGAGGATAGTGAAGTTTTTATGGAGTCACGACTTCTAAACCGGGACAAACCAACGGATACCTTGTCGTGCTGGAATAAGAACCGTGTCGGTGTAGCAGGACATCGAAATGAGATGGTGAATGGAGGAAATAAGGAGCATCAATCACCCACAGTTAAGTAACCCTTCTAGTTATAGCAGACTGATACTGGCCAGTTAGGTATGTTGTAATTGGATAGGTTATGGGTGACCCAGCTACATCAAATAACCACCAGAGAATATCTGGTAAGTGGTGGTATTATATACAAGTGTTTTTTCCTTGATGGATATATACATGTGTAACCTACCCCCCCCCCTTCCTTCAGTTAAACTAATATAATCTATACAGTCCACAATTAATTAGTAGCGCCATACTTGTGGGTGCTACCCAATTTATACTGGTCTCGGAGAGATATGGATAAGATTGTGAGGTCGAAGGGACCACCTGCAGTGACCAGAGGTGGTTAAGTTTTCTCACATGTCTACACCCCTCAAGGAAGGTTCCTTGATGTTGGTGAGGGGCTCTTGATTTAGGGAATTGTATCTGTGCTCCAGTTCCCCGAATTAAGCCTGAGTGCCTTCCACATCCCCCCCCCCCAGGCGCTGTATAATCCTCCGGGTTTAGCGCTTCCCCTTGATTATAATAATAATAATCACATGTCTACACGGGGTGACTACGGTAAACAATATCGTTGTTGTCTCCCAATGAGATTACTCGTATGCATGTAATGTTGAGGTACGTACAGGTAACCCCTATAAAATTTTCCATAGTACATGTACAGTGTATCTGTAATAATATCACAGTAAACAGGTGATATCAGAATATGTTAAATGACCATAGTGAAAAATAGTGCAATTCTAAGCGCTTTCGTGATTTCTCATATTATCAAGGAATAAGAATATATATGTTATACAATATATATGTCTTTCAGGACCCTTCAGTTTACCTATCATTGGGAACCTAAAACTTGTTATGGTCGCAGAGGACGTTCGTAAACTCCGTAAGACATATGGGGACATCTTTAAGTGAGTACGCAGTTTCATGTTTATGTGCTACAATATGTGTTAAGATTTATTGGGCTTTTAAACCCGGAGGGTTAGCCACCCAAGGTAACCCGGAAAGTCAGTGCGTCATTGAGGACTGTCTTATTTCCATTGTGGTCCTTTAATCTTGTCCCCCAGGATGCCACCCACACCAGTCCACTAACACCCAGGTATGTACCTACTTACTGCTAGATGAGCAGAAACAGCAGGTGTGAGGAAACATGCACAACGCTTCCACCCGTGCCGGGGATTGAACCACAGACACTGGCTTGATGAATAAGACAGCTAGAATAAAATCCACTGGCTTACCAGAGCTGAATTTTGCCCCCAGTTAGTTCAGACCAAAAAAATATTAACTTTTCTAGGTTATCCTAGGTAATTTACACTGTATGATAATTGTACTCGTGTGTACCTAAGCCAGAGCGAATTTGCTATGAAATTAATACTAATGAAGCCTAATCCCGCCCTGGATTGTATACCATTGTTATATTCAAACACAACCTTGTCCACGAAAGTTGCCTCATTGCAGAGTGAGAGCTGGATGTGTAGATATGACTTTCATCTGTGACTTTAAACTGGTGAAAGAAGCTTTTTCCAAGATAGAATGTACTGATCGTCCTCACTGGGAGACCGTACATTTCCTTACTGATGGAAAGGAAACAGGTTTGTAACTTGCTTGTTTATACATTACTGTCTCCCATAATTAATTAAAGATACACGTAAAGCAAGACTTTGTTGAGACAATGTTTCGCTCTGTGTTGGGCTTTACTAAGTCATGGCATGATACAACTGTAATAGGTAAACCACAATACACAAATAACTCGCACATGGAGAAGCATATGACGATGTTTCGGTCTAACTTGGACTATTTACAAGTCACACTAACACACGAGGGTGAAGGAGACAGTATATATAGGAGAGAGGAACAGGGACGGTACAAAGAGAGGAAGGAAGTGGAAAAGTAGTGGTAGAGGTAATGCTGGTAGTGAAAGATGTAGAAGTAGTAGTAGTAGTAGTATTAGTAAGTAGGGGAGAAGTGGAAGACATGTGACTAGTAACTGTGGCGAAACATTTCCTCAGTAAATATCCTCATCAGTGCACACACCTTTTATCTACACCTTATCGCTATCACCTTACCAATGTATATGATATATTTTTAGATGGGCGGAGGGGTAAGCCAGTAGAAGGCCTCGGTCAGAAGACCAAGAGTAAATTTATTTGGGCACAGGTACACATACTCAATTATGATGTATACAGTGACACTAGCCATCACAATGCAACATTGTATTATTCTCTCTACAACTCAAGTGTAATATTGACCAGTGATTGTATTCTCCCTACAACCAGGTGTGATAATGACTAATGGACAACATTGGCAGAATGCACGAAGGTTCTTGCTACGTAATCTGAGGGACCTGGGGATGGGAAAATCTTATCTGGAGGTTCCCATACAGGAGGAGGCACAGATGCTGGTCAATGATTTCCGGAAATATGATGGCAAGGCAGTTCCTCTGCCCAACTCTATTAACATAGCAGTTCTCAATGTTATTTGGCAACTTGTGGCAAGTAGGTTTAATGTTTTTTTTTCATTATTTATATTCCTTTTTAAGGGGAGGTGGGTTGAAGTTGGGGAAAGGCTCATGATTTTAGGTATTGGAGTCACTCTCCTCTCTGGATCGAATGTGACTGAATAAAACCCCTACGGGTTTTATACAATTTTAGGTGTGTAAAATTATCATACAAAGTCAAAGTGACTTATTTGCATCAGGATATTTACACTAGTAAGTGTGTATCTCTCAGTGAGGATACCTGGAGTATACCTGGAGGGTATATATACAGTACACTGACCCCTCAGAGGAGGTTCCTTGATGCTGGTGAGGGGCTCTTGATCTAGGGAATTGGATCTGCGCTCCAGTTCCCTGAATTTAGCCTGAATTCCTTACATCCCCCTCAGGCGCTGTATAATCCCTACAGGTTTAGCGCTCCCCTAAGATTATAATAACAACAGTACACTGACAGAAGTATGTCTTCCATTTTATATACACTGAGAGTTCACTTCAATCACTGTTTAAGGTATTAACATTCATAATTAGTGGTGACATCTTGTCTTAATAACTCGATGTAATTCGGTGTAAAAATCAAAATTTGTCTATTGGACCTGAATAAAAAGAGACTTAAATAAGCTTAACCTAATTGCACAATGACCCATGTAGGTTCAGAGCTCTTTTTTTTATTATAATTTGAGCCTAATAGTCCAGCATCCGCACCTAGGCCTATACAGCTCAAGGCATCACAGCCCTTACAGTCAATAACAACAACGACTCCCTTCAACAGTCGCCCTATAAACCAACAACAACAAGTGGGATGTATTTCTCTTACAATATAACATTACCCAGGACTGAGAGGATGTTATATTCATGGGAGAGCAGTAAAACCGTGGGGGTCATACAGCACCAAGGAGTAATCATAGCCAATCAGGTTCGATCCAAGGAAGGGGAGGACAGATCCAGGTCCTTGACTCCTAAGTTTATTTAGACACAGGTACACGTAAGTACAATTATTACTTATAATAATCATATATGATAGTAGCGAACCTTATATATAAGTAATTTTTCGTTTATGTACGTAGCTGTGATAAAGTTTAATTTATAAATTATGCAAAAAGTCTAGAATTTTTTTTTTTTATATTTTATTTAAAAAGTACATCACAGAACATAAAAAAAAAAAACAGGCCTTATCCGTCAACAAATGTAATAAACTTCCCATGGCCATATACTACCACACTGACGCACTGACTTTCTTGGGTTATCCTGGGTGGCTAACCCTCCGGGGTTAAAAATCCGAACGAAATCTTATCTTATCTTATCTACATCATGTAACAAACATTATCTAATGAAAATGCTGTATAATCCTCCGGGTTTAGCGCTTCCCCCTTGATTATAATAATAATAATATCTAATGAAAACACAAACAGTAACCAAATTAAGGAGAGAATTGATACAAACTTCTGTACTAACTACATCAAAAGTAAAACCTGATGTTCTGTACTATGACTTAACGTTATAAGGTAATAACTCAAAAGAGCACAGTATGTTACATACCGTAACTCTGCAAACTAAACCCCCCCTTCCCCAGACAGAACCCCCCCTTCCCCAGACAGAACCTCCCCTTCCCCAAACAGAACCCCCTCTTCCCCAGACAGAACCCCCCTTCCCCAAACAGAACCCCAACCCTTCCCCAGACAGAACCCCCCTTCCCCAAACAGAACCTCCCCTTCCCAAACAGAACCCCCCTTCCCCAGACTCAGAAGAACCCCCCCTTCCCCAGACAGAACCTCCCCTTCCCCAAACAGAACCCCCCCTTCCCCAGACAGAACCTCCCTTCCCCAAACAGAACCCCCCCTTCCCCAGACAGAACCCCCCCTTCCCCAGACAGAACCCCCCCTTCCCCAGACAGAACCCCCCCTTCCCCAGACAGAACCCCCTTCCCCCGACAGAACCTCCCCTTCCCCAGACAGAACCTCCCCTTCCCTAGACAGAACCCCCCCTTCCCCAGACAGAACCCCCCCTTCCCCAGACAGAACCCCCCTTCCCCAGACAGAACCCCCCTTCCCCAGACAGAACCCCCCTTCCCCAGACAGAACCCCCCCCTTTCCCCAGACAGAACCCCCCTTCCCCAGACAGAACCCCCCCTTCCCCAGACAGAACCCCCCCCCTTCCCCAGACAGAACCCCCCTTCCCCAGACAGAACCCCCCCTTCCCCAGACAGAACCCCCCCTTCCCCAGACAGAACCCCCCCTTCCCCAGACAGAACCCCCCCTTCCCCAGACAGAACCCCCCTTCCCCAGACAGAACCCCCCTTCCCCAGACAGAACCCCCCTTCCCCAGACAGAACCTCCCCTTCCCCAGACAGAACCTCCCCTTCCCCAGACAGAACCCCCCCTTCCCCAGACAGAACCCCCCCTTCCCAGACAGAACCCCCTTCCCCAGACAGAACCCCCCCCCCCTTCCCCAGACAGAACCCCCCTTCCCCAGCAGAAACCCCCCCTTCCCCAGACAACCCCCCCTTCCCCAGACAGAACCTCCCCCTATCTGAAAAGTACAACATAAAATTAGAACCACAATAACTTAAGTTAACCCTAACACATCTATTATGCTATCCAAAAGTATAAATCTTCCAACACGTAAGAATATGAAGCATAAACTACAATGATACATCTGTTCCCAAAACTTAAAATGGTGGGTGGCCCGGTGACCTGGTGGCTAAAGCTCCCGTTTCACACATGGAGGGCCCGGGTTCGATTCCCGGCGGGTGGAAACATTCGACACGTTTCCTTACACCTGTTGTCCTGTTCACCTAGCAGCAAATAGGTACCTGGGTGTTAGTCGACTGGTGTGGGTCGCATCCTGGGGGACAAGATTAAGGACCCCAATGGAAATAAGTTAGACAGTCCTCGATGACGCACTGACTTTCTTGGGTTATCCTGGGTGGCTAACCCTCCGGGGTTAAAAATCCGAACGAAATCTTATCTTATCTTAAAGGTTATAACTGCCTCACGGCTTACAAAACAAACTGCAAGTGCAATAAGTACATTATGTAAATATGGAACAGTTTGATTTCTAACATTGGTTATAAAGAATTTCCTGTAGTCAAATTACATTAACAAGATCCGTCCACATCATAAACAAACAGCAATCATTGTATTGAGTGCCTAGCCTTACAGAAAGAAAAAAATCATAAACCCTCACCATACTTATTAATTTTTTTAATTTATTCAATGATTTACTCTGACACAAATTCATTAACATAATAAATATTATATAAATTGACGATCATATTAATCGTCAGCAATTTCCATCCATTCTATATGTGTTCAATCTTGATACCTATGAACTACGTTTGAATCACAAACAACAATCACAACATTGCGAAATATTTATAGGATAAATTCGGTACGACTTAGTGTAATGGACTCGTGTTATATCCCTTTAATACTTTGGTGACTCAGACTAGATTGAACAGTAACAGGGAAGGGATAAAACATGCATATATATATATGCATGTTTGTATACCCAAATATCTGGACCTCCATAACACAATCAAAAACAAAACTAAGAAAACTAGTGACTCAAGAATACAGTGGACCCCCGCATAACGATGGCATCACATAGCGATTATTTCGCATACCGCTTACTTTAATTGCAAAAATTTTGCCTCACATACCGCTTAAAAACCCGCTTACCGATTTTCGTCCGAGACGCGTCCAATGTGCGGCCTGAGCCACGCTCACATGTTCCGCCGGTGGCATTGTTTACCAGCCAGCCTCCGCGGTAACATCCAAGCATACAATCGGAATATTTCGTATTATTACAGTGTTTTCGGTGCTTTTTCTGGAAAATAAGTGACCATGGGCCCCAAGAAAGCTTCTAGTGCCAACCCTACAGCAATAAGGGTGAGAATTACAATAGAGATGAAGAAAAAGATCATTGATAAGTATGAAAGTGGAGTGCATGTCTCCGAGCTGGCCAGGTTGTATAATAAACCCCAATCAACCATCGCTACTATTGGTGGTACAGCTGCTGCTGCTGCTGCACTGTCAGCTGCTGCTGCTGCTGTAGCACCGTTGTTGGTGTGGCTTATTGAGAATACCAAGAAACAATTAACCCCAGAGGATTTGCCACCCAGGATAACCCAAAAAAGTCAGTGTCATCGAAGACTGTCTAACTTATTTCCATTGGGGTCCTTAATCTTGTCTCAGGATGCAACCCACACAAGTCGACTAACACCCAGGTGAACAGGGAAAAATGCCTGGAACTAGTGCTCATATTGGTGAATTTAAAGCCAGCAAAGGTTGGTTTGAGAGATTTAAGAATCGTAGTGGCATACACAGTGTGATAAGGCCTGTTCTGGAAAAATGCCAAACAGGACCTACAGTACTCAGGAGGAAAAGGCACTCCCAGGACACAGTGTCTCATCAGTCATTGCTGCATCTTCAATAAAGGTAAGTGTCATTTATTCTTCATTTAGTAGACTAGTACATGCACAATATATACTGTGCATGTACTACTCTACTATTGTGCATGTATCCTTCTCTTTGTGTGTGGGAAAATGTATATTTCATGTGGTAAAATTTTTTTTTTCATACTTTTGGGTGTCTTGCACGGATTAATTTTATTTCCATTATTTCTTATGGGGAAAATTCATTCGCATAACGATTATTTCGCATAACAATTACCCCTCTTGCACGGATTAAAATCGTTAACCGGGGGTCCACTGTATAACGAGTCTTTACACAAAGGAAAGCATTAAAAACATAACAAATATATAAAGGCACCCCAGTCATTTTGTACACAAAAGGTACAATAAGTAACCCTAACCCCTGAATCTACAACCACACATCCATAACTACTAAAAAACATTCATGCCCAAACTCATATTCACGCAACTCACCCCCCCCCAAGAGACGAGCCAGCTATTGCCCACTGACCTACACGACAACTTATTCGGCATGCCCGTATATTTATTCACAGATTCACAAGGGCTTCAATAGTGAGCCTTTTATAACCGTCCGAAAAACCTTTATCCCACCTCCTCCCATACAATTCCCTATTCCTACACATTGTACGATAAAATGTTATTGCAAGGACACGCCTTCTCACCTCACTGACCCCTTTCCCCCGCATTACCCACGAAATATAAATGTAATCCACGATAATATAATCTAAAACCCGTTCAACATCCTGGTCTAATCCACCGATGTCGAGACTTAACGCGCGCAGGACCTGCACTCCTCTCCCTCCCACCCTCTGTACAACCCTACCCAACCAACTCCTGACATCTTCTAAACCTTCGCAAAAATAGACAACATGAAAAGCCGTGTCTTCCCCACCACAAAACCCACACCCGCCTCCCTCCACGACTCTTCTGGATCGTAGTATTGCCCCTGACGGCAATATACCATGTAAAAAACGAAACATGACTTCACGCACCCTAGGCCGTAATTTCAACTTACTAAATCGGAGCCAGATATTTTCCCACGAGTACATGGAGAACAAACCTTCTACTGGAGCTGCGCACGTACCCCCCAGTAAGCTACTTAAAACTCTTATGTGAATGTTCCTCCGTTCCTTTACCATCAACAAAGCTCGTAGTACAATCTCACATTCCCTTAACTCCATTCCCCTATACCACTTTTTCACCCTCGTATATACAGTGGACCCCCGCATAACGAAAACCTCCGAATGCGACCAATTATGTAAGTGTATTTATGTAAGTGCGTTTGTACGTGTATGTTTGGGGGTCTGAAATGGACTAATCTACTTCACAATATTTCTTATGGGAATAAATTTGGTCAGTACTGGCACCTGAACATACTTCTGGAGTAAAAAAATATCGTTAACCGGGGGTCCACTGTACTTGGTCCATTTTTCCCGCCATCACACCCACACGCCAAACCTCCCACTTTAGAAAAACACATTTCACCCTTCGCTTTAAGTCCAACAATCCCAAACCTCCTCTACGTACAGGTAACATAACCTCACGTTTTAACTAATCACACCTCGATCCCCACAGAAAGGTAAATACTCTTCTCAATATTCCATTGATCGCTGTTCCTGTAATTGGGAATACAGCCGCAACGTGCCACACCTTACTATACAATAAAACGTTAACAACGATCACACGTTGGGCCAGAGTGAGATGTTGGGGCCTCAAAACACCCAGACGACCAATGACCTTTTCCAACGTCCTTACTGAATTTTCCTCCCGCGCCACATCCAAATCGTCTCTATAAATAATACCGCAAATCTTTAATGACATCGCAGTTGTGTTAACCACATTACAGTTCACCATTCCATCCCCTTTCCAGGTACCCAACCCCATGATCATCGACTTTTCACTATTTACCATCATACCCATGGCACGTTCAAACACATGCACAACATCTTCCAACCCTTTCATAGACATACGTTCACACACCAAAACAGTCATATCATCCACATAACCTATTAATGCCGGCCAACAATCCCCTTCCCCTACCCCACCCCCACCCCGGGAGCTTACTGTGCTCTCAAGTCCATGTGAGAATTAGAATTCAAGTTTATTTTCACGTGATACTTTGTACTTATATACAGGAATGGGTGACACTTGAATTCATGCAGAAAGCCCATGGTTATGCAGAGCATGCCCATGGTTATGCAGAGCATACCCATGGTTATGCAGAGCATGCCCATGGTTATGCAGAGCATGCCCATGGTTATGCAGAGCATGCCCATGGTTATGCAGAGCATGCCCATGGTTATGCAGAGCATGCCCATGGTTATGCAGAGCATGCCCATGGTTATGCAGAGCATGCCCATGGGCTTTCTGCATGCTTGGTTATGCAAGGTTATGCAGAGCATAACCATGAGTAAATTTAACCCTTAAACTGTCCAAACATAGATCTATGTTCGGAGCGCTACGCGAGTGAACGTAAATCTACGTTTGGACAGTTTAAAGGTTAAGCCTAACATAATACAACAAGAGCAATAAACAATACATGTGTATTTTTAGTGACATTAAGTGTATAGAAATAATGAACATTAAAATGGTATAAAATACCGACAGGTTGTTAGGTAAGACACATGTGCAACAGTTAGGTATATTTATTTCGAAACGTTTCGAAATAAATATACCTAACTGTTGCATATGTGTCTTGTATAGAAATAATATTGAATAATTAGTGAAGTGTTCCTCTCTTAGTGACCCTGGTAGGCCATTGGTATCATTATAATTAAAAATGCAGCAAAAAATATCTTGTTTGTAATAATATTCTCTATTTTCCTGGGGTTTTAAGTGGTTAATCAAATTTTAATTGTACACACTTACTTTATTTCTAATCTTTTGTTATCTGTTTCTTTAGGTCGTCGCTATGAGCTGGATGACAAGGACATCACTTCCTTTATTGCACTCATAAAATCCTTTCAAGAAGACACCAGTGCTTTTATTCTTCCAATCTTCTTTCCTATACTAAATTATCTCCCAAGATTTCTCACAAGAAAACTTTTTAGATTTGATATAATAGACAAGGTTAAACAGAATGCCTTGGGGCTCTTGGGGGTAAGTCTGGACAGTGCATTTTTTTATACAGATTGGTTGGAGGTACAAAAGTAATGCAGTAAATATGGGTATTAAGTCACATATGTAGAATAAGCTTTTATCAGGTATGTTTAGCTCAGGATAAAGCAAAATTAAGTTCCTTTAAAAAAAAATCTGCATATTTTCTATATGTAAATGAGTTGTTTGTTTTAGAGAACAATTCAGTATTACAGTAGTTGTTATGATTCACAAATGGGTAGTTTGCAAACTGCAAAATGTTCACATGTGACACTTTGCAGTTTCTTTTGCACTTATAAATTAATTTAGAGTATCAGACTCTCCATGCATCTGGGAAAAGTGTCTGGAAGAGTTTCATTTTAGTGCCCTAAATTGTTAGACTTTGTCTACATATATAAAATAATGTATATTGTCTTTGTCCATCTGAACTTAAACTTTGCTGTGCATCATCTACCAACAAGAATTACCATTCATTTTTTCAAATATACATTACTTTACAGCACTCAAATTGTTCATGTACATAGAGTACTATTTGCATCATTCTCAACTAGTGGACAACACTTAACAACAACATGGTAAAAAGAGGCAAGACATATAGAGCAAATTCTTATTTGTAAACTATAATTGGCTTTAGGAAGAGCGTTTTAAAGATCTACTTAGCCTGGAACATCATGTGTTTATGATGCACAAATAACCGCACATTTGCAGAAAAAAGCTTATGATGATGTTTCAGTCCAATTTGGACCCTTAATTGACACATGATGTTAATGGTCTAAGTTAGTCCAAAACATCATCATAAGTTTCCCTCGATGTGTATTGTTCCAGTCATGGTATTGAGACTTTCAATTCTTTATGTTTACATTGGTTTGCTCTCCGTATAGTGTCTTTTAACCATCTTTCCAACTGGCCAAATTAGGTTTGGTTTTTGGGCTTGCTTAAAGTAATTTCAGATGTATTGCATAGACCATTTGACACAAACAACTGAGTACAGTAGTCCCCCCCTTATCCACGGGGGGTTACATTCCAAGACCTTCCTTGGATACCCGAAACCATGGAGAGCAGCAAACTCAATACTATATAAGTCGTATTCTGTTTACTCGCATACCTATGATAAAGTTTAATTCATATATTATGCACAATAAGTGGAGAATTGGCAGTTCTTTACTGCCAATTGTCCATTTATTGTGGGAAGCACTTCAGGGCTTCTCGTAGTCTTCGAAGAAGTTCCAACATCACTACTTTTTCACTTTGAGGCCATTTTTAAGCAAAATTAAGGGTTATTTTTGGGCCACGGTAAACTGTGGATAACTGATACTGCAGATACCAATCCTGTGGACACAGGGTCCTACTGAAATTCAGTTTCTTTCATAATTTTTTTTTCCAGGGTATTATAGAGTCTCACAAAGCCAAATTGGACCCCAGCAATCCACGTGACATAGTCGATAAATATCTTCTCGAGATGAACAAGAAAAGTGACATTGCTTCATTTTTCAGTGGTATGTATAGCCGAGGAGGATTCCAACTCTGGTGACTTAGCATTTTCATATTTACCTTTAATCCATATTTTTCACGTGACGATGTGAGAGTTATGTGCCGTTCTAGCTTCTCTTCAAATGCAGTTGTACATTTATTTTGAAAAGGACTATAATGTATTCAGAAATACAGTAACAAGAGATAGAAATTGTAAAGATTATTATTACTATGAGTAGTAGTAGTAGTAATACAGTGGACCCCCGGTTTACAATCAGCTCCCAATGCGACCAATTATGTAAGTGTATTTATGTAAGTGCATTTGTATATGTATGTTTCTGTTCCACTTCCCCATGGATAATTATTATTATTATTATTTTTAACAAGTCGGCCATCTCCCACCTAGGCAGGGTGACCCAAAAAGAATGAAAATCCCCAAAAAGAAAATACTTTCATCATCATTCAACACTTTCACCTCACTTACACATAATCACTGTTTTTGCAGAGGTGCCCAGAATTACAGTGGACCCCCGCCTTACGATATTAATCTGTTCCTGAGAGCTCATCGTATGCCGAAATTATCGTAAGGCAAATTAATTTTCCCCATGAGAAATAATGGAAATCAAATTAATCCGTGCAAGACACCCCAAAGTAAGAAAAAAAAAAATTTTTTTTTTTGACATTGAAAATTAATTTTAATACACACAAACTGAAGAAGACATGCACAATTACTACTTTACTAAGAATAGAATACATGACACTTACCTTTATTGAAGATCTGGTGATGATTGATGGGATGGGAGGAGGGGAGAGTGTGGAAGTTACTGTTTAGAAGGGGAATCTCCTTCCATTAGGACTTGAGGTAGCAAGTCCATTTCTGGGGTTACTTCCCTTCTTCTTTTAATGCCACTAGGACCAGCTTGAGAGTCACTGGACCTCTGTCGCACAGCAAATCTGTCCATAGAGCTCTGTACCTCCTGTTCCTTTAATTCTTTCCTAAAATGGAACCTTTTTGAGGATGACCCCTACCTCACCTTCCTTCCCCTACAGATTTATATGCTCTCCATGTCATTCTACTTTGATCTATTCTCTCTAAATGACCAAACCACCTCAACAACCCCTCTTCAGCCCTCTGACTAATACTTTTACTAACTCCACACCTTCTCCTAATTTCCATTATCCAAATTTTCTGCATAATATTTACACCACACATTGCCCTTAGACAGGTCATCTCCACTGCCTCCTACCGCCGCCTCGCTGCTGCATTTACAACCCAAGCTTCACACCCATATAAGAGTGTTGGTACTACTATACTTTCATACATTCCCTTCTTTGCCTCTATAGATAACATTTTTTGTCTCCACATATACCTCAATGCACCACTCACCCTTTTTCCTTCATCAGTTCTAGGGGGGATATGATTGAGGTGTATAAATGGAAGACAGGAATAAATAAAGGGGATGTAAATAGTGTGCTGAAAATATCTAGCCTAGACAGGACTCGCAGCAATGGTTTTAAGTTGGAAAAATTCAGATTCAGGAAGGATATAGGAAAGTACTGGTTTGGTAATAGAGTTGTGGATGAGTGGAACAAACTCCCAAGTACCGTTATAGAGGCCAGAACGTTGTGTAGCTTTAAAAATAGGTTGGATAAATACATGAGTAGATGTGGGTGGGTGTGAGTTAGACCTGATAGCTTGTGCTACCAGGTCGGTTGCCGTGTTCCTCCCTTAAGTCAATGTGACCTGACCTGACTAGGTTGGGTGCATTGGCTTAAGCCGGTAGGAGACTTGGACCTGCCTCGCATGGGCCAGTAGGCCTTCTGCAGTGTTCCTTCGTTCTTATGTTCTTATGTTCTTATTAACCTCATCCTTCATAAATCCATCCGCTGACACGTCAACTCCCAAATATCTGAAAACATTCACTTCTTTCATACTCCTCCTCCCAATTTGATATCCAATTTTTCTTTATCTAAATTATTTGATACCCTCATCACCTTACTCTTTTCTATGTTCACTTTCAACTTTCTGCCTTGATTGTTAGTATTAATAGTAGTAGTAGGACTGGTATTATTATTATTAGTAGTAGTAGTAGTATTAATAATAGTAGTACAGTGGACCCCCGCCTTACGATATTAATCCGTTCCTGAGAGCTCATCGTATGCCGAAATTATCGTAAGACAAATTAATTTTCCTCATAAGAAATAATGGAAATCAAATTAATTTGTGCAAGACACCCAAAAGTATGAAAAAAAAAAAGATTTTACCACATGAAATATTAATTTTAATACACACAAACTGAAGGCATGCACAGTGAATACTCTACTAAGAATAGAATACATGACACTTACCTTTATTGAAGATCTGGTGATGATTGATGGGATGGGAGGAGGGGGGAGTGTGGAAGTTATTATTGTTTAGAAGGGGAATCCCCTTCCATTAGGACTTGAGGTATCAAGTCCTTTTCCAGGGTTACCTCCCTTCTTCTTTAATAACACTAGGACCAGCTTGAGTCACTGGACCTCTGTCACACAACTTATCTGTCCATAGAGCTCTGTACTTCTTGTTCCTTTATGATTTATCTAAAGTGGTTCACAACATTGTCATTGTAATAGTCACCAGCACGGCTTGCAATATCTGTGTGAGGGTGATTTTCATCCATAAACGTTTGCAATTCAAGCCACTTTGCACACATTTCCTTAATCTCTTTTTTCTATTCCATACTAATTCTCACCCTTTTTACAACAGGGATGGCACTAGAAGCTTTCTTGGGGTCCATGGTGGCTTATTTTGCAGTTATAAGCACTAAAAACACTGGGATAATGTGAAATGTACCGAATGTATACGTAGATGCGACCACACTGGCTCACTTGTAAACACTGGTGCTGAGGCCACACATGGGACGCGTCCTGGACGAATCGCGTAAGGCGAGTTTTTTAGCGTGAGGCGAGGCAAAATTTTTGCGTTAAAATGTATAGTATGGTGGATTTAACGTAACGCGATGCCATAGTAAGGCGGGGGTCCACTGTACTGGTATTATTATTATATTTTTTTTCAACAAACTGGCTGTATCCCACCAAGGCAGGGTCGCCTTTTTAAATTTAGTAATTTATACAAGAGAAGGGGTTACTAGCCTCTTGCCCCTGGCATTTTAGTCGCCTCTTACAACACGCATGGCTTACGGAGGAAGAATTCTGTTCCACTTCCCCATGGAGATAAGAGGAAATAAACAAGAATAAGAACTAGAAAGAAAATAGAAGAAAACCCAGAGGGGTGTGTATATATATGCTTGTACATGTATGTGTAGTGTGACCTAAGTGTCAGTAGAAGTAGCAAGACGCACCTGTAATCTTGCATATTTATGAGACAGACAAAAGACACCAGCAATCCTACCATCATGTAAAACAATTAAAGGCTTTCGTTTTACGCTCGCTTGGCAGGACGGTAGTACCTCCCTGGGCGGCTGCTCTCTACCAACCTTCTACCTTTAATTTTCTCTTGTATGCTTTCTATTTTTAAGAGGTTGGTCATGCTAGAAAGGTAAGATCACTCATAGAAGAAAACACATTAACCATTATTCATTTGCTAAATGCTTTCCTAAAAGTGTGCAGACAAGGACTCCAAGATTCTATGTAAATACAGGGAACCCAATGGAAATAAGTCAGTGTGTTTGACTTTTTTGGGTTATCCTAGGTAATTTACACTTTGTATGATGAATGTACTTATATGTACTTCTGCCAAAATAAACTTAATGAAATTCAAATATCTCACCAAATTGCAGGGATTCCCATCCATTTCAGATAGTAAATTGTTTGACAGCAACTAAAAAGGGATGATACTATCATCCTGACACAGTAGTCTGGAACAAAACCTGTTAAATGTTTTTCATTCTACCTGAATTTCTCATTTTTTTCTTGCAGTCTCGTGAATATTTAAGATAATTAATCTCACAAATTTCTACCTACCTTCAGATTAGATTTTGCCACCGAAGTGGCTAGTTTATTGTGCACCCCATATCCATCCTGTGGACGGTAGCGCGAGAGCATGTGGATACACAAAAGGCCTAGGAACTAGGCCCCAAAGGGTTAACAGGAATACATATGGATTTATATCTACATATCTATAGTTCAATTATCTGTTACAAGCAAATTTAGGAAATTTGCTTAGTATATCTGGTATCTTATTTTCATTAATAAGATATCTTGACATGTCACATAGGTTATTATACTGTCTGTCTCTATATTCCTCAATAAGTGGACAATTAAGCACATAGTGTTCAAGAGTGACCATATACCTACCTTCAGTTTCCTTACATTCATCACTTTTCTTTCTTGTGTTTTTTAATACTTCTTATTCAGGGACTATCTTCTTTTGAGTTCAGGAGACCTGATGTAAACCAGGCCGGAGGACTGATGATCCACGGGATCATTAACACATATAAACCAGGCCGGAGGACTGATGATCCACGGGATCATTAACACATACAAACCAGGCTGGAGGACTGATGATCCACAGGATCATTAACACAAAATCTGGTTACCCAAGTTTGAGCCTATCGTCCACCTTTCTGTGTATTCATGGACAGTTGTTCATTACATCTTAAACTGAGTTCACATAACATTACCTTCAGCAGGCATCTTCTCACATTTTGAAAGTTAATTTAGGCAGAACTTAATGTTATAGTTTCCCCTATAACCAGCAGCAATTTTTTTTTTAAACACACCAGCCATCTCCCACTGAGGCAGGGTAACCTGAAAGAGAAGAAACACTTTCATCATCACTCTATCACTATCTTGCCAGAGATGCGCCTACACTACAGTTCAAACACTGCAACATATTTCCACTCCTTCTTCAGAGTGTAGGCATTGTACAGTGGACCCCCGGTTTACGATCAGCTCCCAATGCGACCAATTATTTAAGTGTATTTATGTAAGTGCGTTTGTACGTGTATGTTTTGGGGTCTGAAATGGACTAATCTAATTCACAATATTCCTTACGGGAACAAATTCGTTCAGTAATGGCACCTGAACATACTTCTGGAATAAAATAATATCGTAAACTGGGGGTCCACTGTACTTACTTCATCCAGGACTCAAGTCCAGCTAACCAGTTTCCCTGAATACCCTAATAAATGTTACCTTGCTCACACTCTAACAGCACATCAAGTCAATCATAAAAATAATTTACCTTCACTCACTCCTAACACGCTGATTTATATCTACACATTTATAAATGTTTCTTCATTTTCTTTTTAGTAATCTGTTGGATTGTGAGCAGGATAATATTTTGTGAAGGGATTCAGGGAAACTGGTTAGCCGGACTTGAGTCCTGGAAATGGGAAGTACAATGCCTGCACTTTAAAGGAGGGGTTTGGGATATTGGCAGTTTGGTGGTAATTCTAAACAATCATATCTGAGCACAGCTGCAAAGACAGTGATTATGTATGAGTGATGGTAAAAGTGTTGAATGATGATGAAAGTATTTAATATCTTTTTGGGTCACCCTGCCTCAGTGGGAAATGGCCCGGTGGCCTGGTGGCCAAAGCTCCCGCTTCACACACGGAGGGCCCGGGTTCGATTCCCGGCGGGTGGAAACATTCGACACGTTTCCTTACACCTGTTGTCCTGTTCACCTAGCAGCAAATAGGTACCTGGGTGTTAGTCGACTGGTGTGGGTCGCATCCTGGGGGACAAGATTAAGGACCCCAATGGAAATAAGTTAGACAGTCCTCGATGACGCACTGACTTTCTTGGGTTATCCTGGGTGGCTAACCCTCCGGGGTTAAAAATCCGAACAAAATCCTATCCTAAATCCTATCCTAACTCCTGAATCTTTTTGTATATTATTAACTTCAAGGCTTTATTAAAATTCTATGTCTTTTTTACACTCCCTTGTTGATAATTACTTAAATTTTTGAAGGGTTAATTTAGGAAATGTTATCTCTTGTAATTTTTATCTTTGTCACAATAATGAAATCTTTACAAACTTAATTTCACACATTTCTTTCATCAGAACTGGATCTGATAAGAAACATATTTGACTTGTTCTCTGCGGGATTTGACACCACTTCTAACATGCTACGCTGGATGTGTTTATACATGGCTGCCTACCCAGATGTTCAGAAGAGTGTGCAGAAAGAGATTGATGATGCAGTTCCCAGAGACAGGTTGCCATCACAACAGGAGAAGCCACAGTAGGTAGACATTTAATAGTATACAGTAAGTCCTTGATTTGCAAATACAGTGGTACCTTGGGATATGAACAGCTCAAGACTCGAACAATTATGTAAGTGTATAATATGTAACTGCTTTTTTAAGTGAATTTTTGGGGGTCTGAAATGGATTAATCTAATTTACATTATTCCTTATTGGAACAAATTTTTTTGGTATTGGCACTCGAGCAGCCTTCTGGAACGAAATAAGTTCGTATCCCGAGGTACCACTGTATGTTGAGAATCTTCTGTTTTGTGTATAATATCATTATTATATCATTATTGTATATAATATCATTATATAATAATAATCATAATAATAATATCTTTATTTACTACAAGTACATGTACATGGTTTACAGGCTTAGCTGACAACAATGACATACTACTATATAGAAAGCCCCTTGTTATGCTCCGTATGTCCGCCAAATTAGGTCAGTGCCCCGGGATGCGACCCACACCAGTCAACTAACACCCAGGTACCCATTTTGCTGATGGAGAACATAGACAACAGGTGGAAAGAAACACACCCAGTGTTTCTACTCTGGCTGGGAATCGAACCCAGCCCTCACAGTGTGAAGCGGGAGCGTTAACCACCATTACAGAAGGTCCCAAAATTATTCATAAGTTGAAGACTTCCTCTTTTGAATATTTTTCACAATTCAATAGGTCCCCAGTGTGTTTGTAAGTCAATGACTTACTACAGATGCTCCTTGCTTTATGATGGTTCGACTTGCGATATTTTTGACTTTACGATGGTGTAAACAGCTCATTGCCACTGTGCCTTGTTCAGCTATCGGAACTTTGCAGCCCAGTCCCTAAATCCATTATTTATCTCTGCAATCTTTTGACTACCACCAGCAGGATGGGTCTGGTGTTTACCTGGAATTTACCTGGAGAGAGTTCCGGGGGTCAATGCCCCCGCGGCCCGGTCTGTGACCAGGCCTCCTGGTGGATCAGAGCCTGATCAACTAGGCTGTTACTGCTGGCTGCACGCAAACCAACATACGAGCCAAAGCCCGGCTGGTCAGGAACCGACTTTAGGTGCTTGTCCAGTGCCAGCTTGAAGACTGCCAGGGGTCTGTTGGTAATCCCCCTTATGTATGCTGGGAGGCAGTTGAACAGTCTCGGGCCCCTGACACTTATTGTATGGTCTCTTAACATGCTAGTGACACCCCTGCTTTTCATTGGGGGGATGTTGCATAATATAGATGTTAAACTAAAAACAATGATGATGTGATAGCAATGCACATTCATAATTTTTTTTTGCTCTGCATAATACTGCACATTTATTGATAGGATAAACTTGTATTCATTTATATAGGTTTTAACACTGGTATTTAGTTACAGTAATTGTTTATGCTACACAAATAACCTGGACATAGAAGAGAGGAGCTTACAACAACGTTTCGGTCCGACTTGGACCATTTACAAAGTCGTAAGCTCCTCTCTTCTATGGGTGGGTTATTTGTGTATCGTTCCAGTCACGGTATTGTGCCTTTTTTTGTTATTTAATTGTTTATGTACTTATTTAGTGACAATAGGCTTTTTTTATTTAAGGGAGCAAGGGGCTAGTAACCTCTTCTCCTTTATAAGTTACTAAATTTAAAGAGAGAAACATAAGTTTTTCTTTTTTGGGCCACCTTGCCTCAGTGGGATACAGTCAGTTCGTTGAAAGAAAGAAAGAAGTTTTTTATTTGTTAATCATTTCAATTATTCCTGTAGCATCATTTCTTTTCCTTGCCTGTTCTTCCCTCTCTCAAAATAGGAAAACAGCAGAGACATTTTACAATGATGAATATCTTGCACGAATTCCCAGATTTATCTATGCTTAAGTTATCTTCATTATAGAATAATAAGAAAATATTATAACCTTTATATTATAATAATAAGGTAAAAGGACCCCAATGGAAATAAGTCACTCTGTCTGACTTTTTTGGGTTATCCCAGGTTCTCTACACATATGCTGCTATGTATGATAATTCTATGTAACTGTATTGTGTATACCTGAATAAATTTACTTACTTACTTACTAAGTTTGCCCGAAGTACTCCACATATTAAAGGACTTTCTGTACACAACTAAGTGTCAGTCATCTCTGTACAAACATTGTATCATGTTGAAATAAATTTTTTTCCTAGCTTTTGTCATGAAATAAATATATGAACATGTACTTGTAGAAATAAAGATTCTTCTTCTTTCAGCAAACTGGCCGTATCCCACCAAGGCTGGGTGGCCCAAAAGGATAAACAAAAGTTTCTCTTTTTAAATTTAGTAATATATACAGGATTGATAAATTAGACACATGTGCAACTCTTGGATATCTTTATTGAGGAAACGTTTCGCCACACAGTGGCTTCATCAGTCCATACGTAGGAGAAACTTGAACAGATACCCAAGAGTTGCACATGTGTCTAATTTATCAACATGTCGGTTCTCTGAACCATTCATCTACAATATATACAGGAGAAGGGGTCACTAGCCCCTTGCTCCCATTATTATTTTTTATTATTCATTGTTATTATTATTCAGTGTTTCTGAGGTAAACTTTTAAACTGCAGACTGCAGTACTTGGAGGCTGTGATCCATGAAGTTCTTCGCATGTCTTCCCTCATTCCGTTCAGCGTCAGTCATTTTGTAACACAAGATATAGAGCTTGGAGGTTATGTCTTACCCAAGGTTAGTGTGCAATCAGTTTTGTGCTTTCTAACAAATCCACAAATTAAAAATATTTTTTAGACAACCAAACAGTTTCATTTCTTTCTAAAGTATAAAAAATGTAGTCTACATGTACAGGCAGCTCCAAGGGAAAGCAGAACAGAATCCTTCCTTTGTAAGCCATGCGTGTCATAAGAGGAGATTAACATGCTGTGAGAAAGGGGCTAGTAACCCCTTCTCTTGTATAGTTACTGGAGGTAAAAAGGAAACTTAATAAAGGCATTTCATTTTCTTTCTTTTTTTGGGGAGAGGGGAGTCACTCTGCCTCAGTGGGAGATGGCCAGTACTCTAAAAAAAAGTATACTGGAGGGGCCTCACTTATACAGCAGGTTAGGTTTCGGGCTACTGCTGTAAATAAAAAATCGCTGTGAAGTGAAACAGCCTTTTTTCACTTTCAAATGCATATAAAAGCCTGATGCTATGTTTACACTATTGTATATTAAGTGAACAATAGCGCGAGGCCTAAAAAATGCATATATAACACACACACATTACTTTTTTTTTTTCAACAAGTCGGCTGTCTCCCACCGAGGCAGGGTGACCCAAAAATAAAGAAAATCCCCAAAAAGAAAATACTTTCATCATCATTCAACACTTTCACCACACTCACACATAATCACTGTCTCTGCAAAGGTGCACAGATATGACAATTTAGAAGTCCCTCCAAACTGTCAATATCCCAAACCCCTCCTTTAAAGTGCAGGCATTGTACTTCCCATTTCCAGGACTCAAGTCTGACTAACCGGTTCCCCTAAATCCCTTTATTAAATATTACCCTGCTCACACTCCAACAGTTCGTCAGGTCCCAAAAGCCATTCGTCTCCATTCATTCCTATCTAACATGCTCACACATGCTTGCTGGAAATCCAAGCCCCTCCCCCCCACAAAATCTCCTTTACCCCCTCCCTCCAACCTTTTCAAGGACGACTCCTACTCCTCCTTCCTTTCCCTACAGATTTATATGCTTTCCAAGTCATTCTACTTTGATTCATTCTCTCTAAATGACCAAACCACCTCAACAACCCCTCTTCAGCCCTCTGACTAATGCTTTTGTAACTCCACACCACCTAATTTCCACACCATGAATTCTCTGCATAATATTTACACTACACATTGACCTTATACAGGACATCTCCACTGCTTCCAGTTACCTCTTTGCTGCAGCATTTACAACTCAAGCTTCACACCCATATAAGAGTGTTGGTACCATTATACTTTCATACATTCCCTTCTTTGCCTCCATAGATAACAGTTTTGTCCCCACAGTTACCTCAACACACCACTCACCTTTTTTCCCTTCATCAGTTCTGTGGTTAACCTCATCCTTCATAAACCCATCCTCTGACAAGACAACTCCCAAATATCTGAAAATATTCACTTCTTCCATACTCCCTCTCTCCAATGTGATATCCAATTTTTCTTTATCTAAATCATTTGATACCCTCATCACCTTACTCTTATCTATGTTCACTTTCAACTTTCTACCTTTAGGCACCCTCCCAAACTTGTCCACTAACCTTTGCAACTTTTCTTTAGAATCTCCCATAAGCACAGTATCATCAGCAAAAAGTAACTGTGTCAACTCCCATTTTGTACTTGATTCCCCATAATTTAATCCCACCCTTCTCCCCAACACCCTAGCATTTACTTCTTTTACAATCCCACTTATAAATACAGTGGTACCCTGAATTTCGAACAGCTCCCAACTCAAACAATTATGTAAGTGTACTTTTGTAAGTGCTTTTATAAGCATATTTTTGGGGGTTTGAAACGGACTAATCTAATTTACATTATTCATTATGGGAAAAAATACGTTCGGTAACGGCACTCGAACAGCCTTCTGGAACGAATTAAGGCCGATATTTGGGGTTCCACTGTATATGAAACAACCATGGTGACATTACTTACCTTAAAATATTTTGTACTGAGCTTATAGTGAGTACAGAGTCTCCCCTACGGATGAACATTCATGTTGTGAACTTTGGAACATAAAAACGTGTGATTGCACCCTCCACAAATTCAGTATTATTGTGATTATTATACCCCTAATATATCTGGTGTTAAGCACAGAAGCAGTGGTGATGCAGGTTGTAGTGCTAAGAAGTGCCGGGCCATCACAGTGGAAACATAAGTGAGCATGATGAAAGTAGACTGAGGTGAAAAAATGGTGAATGTCGCCTGTTCACATATTTTGTTTGCTAGTGTACAGTATGTATTTTTCCTGTGTTCATGTATATGTTTGAACTATGTACCCTTCTAAGTTATTCATTGTTCATACGTACATATACTACACTATTGCACAATACTGCATACATACGTATGCTGGACTTCGGAACTACCGCTCGGAACCGAACTTGTTTGTAAGTAGGGAAGTATCTGTAGTGAATATATTTATGGTAGGTAGCCTGAATAAATGAAGAATAGGTATAATTGGAAACTGCTGTATTAGCAAAACACTGTAAAGCAAAGTGTTGTAAAGAGAGAGAATCCTGTAATATATTGTATGTAATGTACGTAATTTTTTTTTCTTTCAACAAACTGGCTGTATCCCACCAAGGCAGGGTGGCCCAAAAAGAAAAACGAAAGTTTCTCTTTTTAAATTTAGTAATTTGTGCAGGAGAAGGGGTTACTAGCCCCTTGCTCCTGGCATTTTAGTTGCCTCTTACAACACGCATGGCTTACGGAGGAAGAATTCTGTTCCACTTCCCATGGAGAATGTATGTAAATGGTCTAGAAAAATGACAAGGTGAGGATAGAGACACTTGTTCAACATTTGGAAATTTTTATTGCAGAAAAATATCACCAGCTAGTGGCTACTTCAGCCAGAGAAGAACATATATATTTTAACAGACTGAATTGTTACATGAAATTTATTCTATTTCTCCTCATTATAGGGTATGACCCTTCAAGCATGTTCTGTGATATGTCACGAGGATCCCAGCTACTGGCCAAACCCTCACAAATTTAACCCGAGTCGCTTCTTGGACAACAATGGGAAGTTTGTGCCTAAGAAAGAAGGTTTCTTGCCATTTGGAATAGGTATGTTCTTGAATTGACTGTTGCTATTGCTGTAATATTCTGTACTGAGCATAGTTGCTTTAGCTAATTGACTGTTGCTATTGCTGTAATATTCTGTATTGAGCATAGTTGCTTTAGCTAATTGACTGTTGTTATTGCTGTAATATTCTGTATTGAGCATAGTTGCTTTAGCTAATTGACTGTTGCTATTGCTGTAATATTCTGTATTGAGCATAGTTACTTTAACTGATTGACTCTTGTTATTGACTTTGTGAGCACTGTTGCTGCAATATTCTATAATGAGCATAATTACTTTAATCATTATCTCTAGTTATTAAGTTTGAATTTAATTTAGAAAATATACACTGATTGTGCCTGCTACACATTTTTATTTTATTTTTTTTTTATTAACACATCGGCCGATTCCCACCAAGTCAGGGTGGCCCGAAAAAGAAAAACTTTCATCATCATTCACTCCATCACTGTCTTGCCAGAGGGGTGTATTACACTATAGTTATAAAACTGCAACATTAACACCCCTCCTTCAGAGTGTAGACACTGTACTTCCCATCTCTAGGACTCAAGTCGGGCCTGCTGGTTTCCCTGAATCCCTTCATAAATATTACTTTGCTCACACTCCAACAGCACGTCAAGTATTAAAACAATTTGTCTCCATTCACTATCAAATACGCTCATGCACGCTTGCTGGAAGTCCAAGCCCCTCGCACACAAAATCTCCTTTACCCCCTCCCTCCAACCCTTCCTAGGCCATCCCTTCCCTGCCTTCCCTCCACTACAGATTTATACACTCTCGAAGTCATTCTATTTTGTTCCATTCTCTCCACATGTCTGAACCACCTCAACAATCCTTCCCCAGCCCTCTGGATAATGGTTTTGGTAATCCCACACCTTCTCCTAATTTCCAAACTACAAATTTTCTGCATTATATTCACACCACACATTGCCCACAGACATGACATCTCCACTGCCTCCAGCTTTCTCCTCATGGCAACTACACATATATTACATTAAACTCCAATATTAACCCTCCACTCAAACTTCTCCATGATAACTACAACAGAACACAGGCACAACACAAGGTACAAAACTCTTTTTAACATTCCTTGTGTCCTCCTCACACTATGCAGAACTGCAATACACATAAAGGGCCCCATGATCTGGAATTCATTGCCCAAACTAGCAAAAGGTCCCTTGTCTGCTATCCAGTTTAGGGTTGTAATTAAAAATCGCCTCATCACGAAAATTTAAGTACGTATACCAACACTATACTATGTCTGAAAGCATAGCTCCAGTTTGAAACTACTCGAGTAATCTAAATTAACTTAAGATCCCAAAATCAATTTTAAGGATTAACCCTTTGACTGTTTTGGTCGTATATATACGTCTTACAAGTCACTGTTTTTGACGTATGTATACTCATAAATTCTAGCGGCTTCAAATCAAGCAGGAGAAAGCTGGTAGGCCCACATGTGAGAGAATGGGTCTGTGTGGTCAGTGTGCACCATATAAAAAAAATCCTGCAGCACGCAGTGCATAATGAGAAAAAAAAAAAACTCCAACCGTTGTGTTTTAATTAAAATTCCGACTTTGTGGTCTATTTTTGTATATTATTTGTTTTTTGTATTTTTGTTTTCTTGGTCTCATTTGATTTGAATGGAAAACATATTATAGAAATAGAGGTGATTTTGATTAGTTTTACTATGAAAAGAACCTTGAAATGGAGCTCAAAGTAGGGAAAATGTTTGATTTTTGCCGATGTTCAAAAGTAAACAAATGATGTCATTTACCAATAAATATCCAAGTAGCCATTCTAATATGCAATCATGAATGGGTTGACATTATTTATACAATTATTACAATATTGCAGTAGTCTGCATAACAGTAAATCTTCTATTTTTGTTTGAATAAAAATTCAAAATAGAAAGCAAGAGTAATATCAGAGGGGCCTGGAGATGTGACTGATGAACAAAGAAAATGTTATTTTAGAGCCAGGAATGTCTGCATTGTTCATTCTGGACCCTATTTTGAAATTCATATTTTTTAATTTTCGTGAAATAGGCCAAATTGCAAATTTCTGACCACGTTATTTGGTAGTTGAAATCGGTAAATGGGCAGTTTCTTGTACTCAATTGATAGAAAAAGTGGAGTTCTAAAGAAATAGCTATGAGTTTGGTTGACTGGAGAAATGGAATTAGCCGAAAAGAGGGCTCAAAGAGGGCAAAATCTCCTATTCGTAAATATCGCCGAGGTCATTAACTTCGCGAAGCATAATTCCATCAGTTTTCCATCAAATTTTGTTCTCTTGGTGTCGTTACAATCGGGAAAAAATTCTCTATCATTTCATAAGATTTTTTTTTTTTTTTTTTTTTTGGGGGGGGGGGGGGGGGGTGCGACACCAGGAGACACATCAGGATTTGGGGTTGCGACAGTCAAGAGGTTAAATCATCATCATATTTCAACAAACTGGCCACATCCTACTGAGGCTGGGTGACCCAAAAAGAAAAATGAAAGTTTCTCTTTTTAAATTTAGTAATGTATACAAGAGAAGGAGTTACTAGCCCCTAGTATAAATTGTAGTAATTATATTTTGCTGCTTGTCTACTATAAATTTTAGTAATTATAAATTTTGCTATCTCCCATTGTTGTAATAATACATAATTAAAATTTACCATTCCATAACCTATGTCTAGTTTTAAGTAGTCTGTAAGAATTAGAATTATTCTGCCTGAAATGTTCGTGAGTTAGTTGCTTTCTTTGTGCCTGACAGATTGTACTGTACTGTATTGTATTGTACTGTATTGTATTGTATTTTATTGTATTTACTTTTTACGGGTACTTTTGTCCCTGTTTTGTACTTTTACTGAATTGAAATGTACTGTATTGTACTGAAATTTGGGTACTTTTACGGGGGTTTTGTATGAAATTGTACGTATTGTATTGACTATTGTACTGTATTGTACTGTACTGTATTGTACTTTTATGTACTGAAATTGTATTGTACTTTTATTGTACTGAAACTGTATTTACGTACTGTTTTTTACGGGTTATTTGTATTGTATGTCTGTTTTGTACTTTTTAATTGTACTGTACTGTTTTTGTACGGACTTTTTGAACTGTACTTTTTTTTTACTGTACTGTTTGGGTTTTACTGTACGAAATTGTACTGAATTGTACTGTACTGTTTTGTACTGTATGTACTGTATTTTTTACGGGTACTGTATTGAAACTGTTTGAAATGTATTGAAATGTATTGTTAAACTGTTTTGTACTGTACTTTTGTATTGTACTGTATTTTTGACTGTACGGGTTTGTACTGTAAAAAAAACTGTTTTTGTTTTTGTACTGTATTGTACGGGTTATTGTATTGAAACTGTATTGTATTGTACTGAATTGTACTGTATTTTTACTGTACTGTATTGAAACTGTACTGTATTGTATTTTTGTATTTTTACGGGTATTGATTGTATTGAAACTGTACTGTATTGTACTGGAAACTGTATTGATGTACTGTATTGAAATGAAAACTGTATTTTGTACTGTACTTGTAGTACGTTTTGGGTACTGTTTTGTACTGTATTTGTACTGTACGAAAACTGAATTGTCTGTACTTTTATTGTATTTTGTACTGTATTTTTACTGTATTTTTCCCTTTACTGTATTGTACTGTACGGGTATTGTACTGTTTTGTACTTTTACTGTATTGTACTGGATTGTACTGTATTTTACTGAAACTGTTTGTATTTGTTTATTGTACGTACTGTATTGTACTGTACTGAAATTGAAATTTTTATTGTACTGTACTGTATTGTACTGTATTTACTGACGTATTGTACTGCGGCACTGTATTGTACTTGTATTGTACTGTTTTGTATTTGTTTTTATGTAATGTATTGTATTGTACTGTATTGTACTTTCTGTATTGTACTGTATTGTATTGTTTCTGTATTGTACTGTACTTTTTTGGGCATTGTACTGTATTGTACTAACTTTTATTGAAACGGATTTGTATTGTACTTTTTTCTGTATTGTACTGTATTTGTACTGTACTGTTTTGGTACTGTATTGTATTTGGTTTTGGGTACTGTATTGTATGTACTGTATTGAAACGGGAAACTGTATTGTACTGTATTGAAACTGTACGTTTTGTACTGTATTGTATTGTACGGGTATTGTACTGTACTGTATTTTTATTACTGTTTTACTTTTAATTGAAAAGAAATTGTTTTGTAATGTACTTTGTTTTCTGAAATGTATTTTTTCTGTACTGTATTGTACTGTACTGTTTTGTACTGTATTGTTTATTGAAACTGTTTTGGGTATGTACTGTATTGTACTGTATTGTATGTATTGGAATTTTTGGTACTGTATTGTACTGACTGTTTTGTTCTGAAAATTGTATGTACTGTATTTTTAACTGAAATTGTATTGTACTGTATTGAAACTGTACTGTATTGTACTGTATTTTTCGGGAAACTGTTATTTGTACTGTATTGTCTGTATTGTACTTGTATTGTACTGTTTTGTTTACTGAAATTTGTACTGTATTGTACTGTATTGTACTGTACTGTATTGTTTTTGTATGTATTGAATTGACTGTATTGAGAAACTTTTTTTACTGTATTGGTACTGTATTGAAATGTACTGTATTTTTACTGTATTTTTTGGGCCAATTGTACTGTATTTTACTAATTGAAATTGTGTTTATTGTAGGGGAGGGATTGAAACTGTATTGTCCCTGTACTTTTTTGGGACTGTATTGTACTGAATTGTACTGTATTGAACTGTACTGTATTGTACTGTACTGTATTGTACTGATTGTACTGTATTGTACTGTATTGTATTTGTTTTTGAAATTGTACTGTACTGTATTGTATTGTACTGTATTGTACTTTGTATTTTGTACTGTTACTGTACATTGTACTGTACTGTATTGTACTGTATTTGTATTGTACTGTATTTTACGTACTGTATTGTACTGTATTGTTTTTGGGATTGTATTG